GATTATTACTACTTCTTATATATGCATTATGTATATCATGCATTTTGTATATTAGTACATCAATCCATTTTTACATAGAATCTACTGTCGTCATCAGTAGCAAATCATCCAGTATTTTATACTACATTCTAGATAACAAGAAGCAATGACACATAAACCCTGGATTGTCTGTTCAATAGTTTAAAATTTAAAATCTCCAGTTACACCTTTAAATATTTTATATGAAGTATATTTTCCACATTATGATTTAAAATCATAGATAAAGGAATAGCACAAGAATACATTAGAGGAAGAAAAACTGGTAAAAATCTGCCAGTGTACTGTGCTGTCAGGGAACAGAAAAAAATTAATGACCTTGTAATTTTTAGAATTCAGTATATGTATTAGTCCATTCTTATACTGCTATGAAGAAATACCTGAGACTGGGTAATTTATAAGGAAAAGAGGTTTAGCTGGCTCATGTTTCCCCAGGTTGTACAGGAAGAGCCTCAGGAAATTTACAGTCATGGTAGAAGGCGAAGGGGAAGCAGGCACGTCTTACATGGCTAGGGCAGGAGGAAGAGGTGGGAAGGTGCTACACCCTTTTTATTATTTATTTATAGTTTTTTTATTTCCATAGGTTTTTGGGGAACAAGTGGCATATGGTTACATCAGTAAGTTTTTTAGTGGTGATTTGTGAGATTTTATTGTACCCATCACCTGAGCAGTATATACTGAACCCAATTTGTAGTCTTTTATCCCTCATCACCTTCCCACCTTTTCCCCCGAGTCCCCCAAGTCTGTTGTGTCATTCTTATGCCTTTGCATCCTTATAGCTTAGCTCCCACTTATGAGTGAGAACATAGAATGTTCGATTTTCCTTACTGAGTTACTTCACTTAGAATAATAATCTCCAGTCCCATTCCTGTTGCTGCAAATGCCATTAATTCATTCCTTTTTATGGCTGAGTAGTATTCCATTGTATAAATATACCAGTTTCTTTATCCACTTGTTGATTGATGGGCATTTGGGTTGGTTCCACATTTTTGCAACTGCAAATTGTGCTGCTATAAACATGTGTGTGCAAGTATCTTTTTCGTATCATGACATCTTTTCCTCAGTAGTATGATTGCTGGATCAAATCGTACTTCTGCTTTTAGTTCTTTAAGGAATCTCCACGTTTTCCTTAGTGGTTGTACTAGTTTACATTTCCACCAGCAGTGTAGAAGTGTTCCCGGTTTACCACATCCATGCCAACATCTGTTATTTTTTGATTGTTTAATTATGGCCATTCTTGCAGGAGTAAGGTGGTATCCATTGTGGTTTTTGCATTTCCCTGATCATTAGTACTACACCCTTTTAAACAACTAGATCTGTTGAGAACTCAATCACTGTCACAACAACAACAGCAAGGGTGAAATCCACCCCCATGATCCAGTCACTTCCCTCCAGGCCCCTCCTCCAGCATTGGAAATTATAATTTGACATGAGATTTGGGTGGGGACACAAATCGAAACCATGTCAGTATAGGTAAAGTATGTTATCTATATATAATCATTTGCATTTCGCTGAATTCGAGACTCTTTGATAGGGCATTAAAATAATTGACTATCAAAAGTGGTACGTGTAAAAAGATACTAATATACCGTCATGTACTAGATGTAAATTCAGCAGTTAGGATCATGACATTTTCATATATTCCAAATAGTTTTAATTACTTTGGTGTTGCGTTGATCCATATCATTTATGTAGTAGACACATGTGCCTTTCCATTGTCACAGCGACATACACTGTTTCTAATATTCATTGTTTTATACCTGATTCTTTCATTAGTTTTTCCATACTGTTTGGTTTCTACACATGAGCACACAGTGCTTAGAAGGTTTGATAGAAGGCTTTCTTCCATCAGTTCCATACATTTCAATAATCATATTGCTTATTCCCTGCATGGGCCCTTAACATTTAACCACCATATTCCAGTTTCTAGTCCTAGGCTCAAGGCCATTTAAATCCATCTTCTATGTCACCTCATTACTTGTTTGGGTTTACAATACCTGTTTGTTGAATGAGTGTTTATCCTCAGTAGGATTATAGGCAAGAACAATGTTTTCTAAGTCTCACATATCCCTCCAAAACACCTAGTTTGAGTGGTAAGGCTTTAGTTTAAATCATGCTAGAAAAGAGATAATTTACTGTATTTAAGTATAATTAGAAAACGCCTGTATTTATAAGCTTCCCTGGTAACCCATTCTAATAAATAGCAAATCAAGTTTTTGAAGTCTGTTTTGAGTCCATGATGTAGTAAATCTAAAACAGTCTTCTTCCTTTGTATGGTGATGAAGAATAATGTATTTATCACCGCCTTCTTTTAGTAATAACTCATATTAATATTTCCTGATATATGTTGTAACATGTAACTTTTCTTCTATGTATTTCCTATTTGTTTTACAAAGGGAATGAAATATACCTCAGCGAATTTTAAATTGATTTTTCACACTAATTCTCTAAAGCATTAGTCTGTTCAAATGTATCAGTGAGAAGAAAGCACACATTATTTTGCCGAAATAATAAAAAGTCTTCTTACACGTGCCCCATCTTCTCTTGCTATGGTCTTTGAAGGTCCCACATGTAAACTTATGTCTGCTTCCAAATTTTAATGGTTCATACAAAGCAGAAGCAACGTGACTGGATTTAATAGGCTTTATCTCCCATGATGCAGGACTGAGGTTAACTGATCATCTTTCCATCTGTAGCACTTATAATGTACCATTCAGTTCATTAGCATTACAGGAGGGCTAAGAGTTTAGTGAATTGTATGTGAGCAGAAGCCATCCATAATCCAAGCAGAGAAACCACGTTTTAAGACCATGTGAGATAGTAAGCTTTGTATAGTAAGGATCCTAAATGTAAATTGGAACTCAGGTAGTCACTTTATAAAATCATCTTACTGGCTTAGACCATGTGTTATTGGTTGATTTTTGGTTTAAATTCCTCCCTAGCTGATGATGGTACTTTGAGAAACACTATAACAGTTTTTCATGTTGTCATAGTGGACTTTTATTCATATATGTGTAAAATAACTATGCTAATGTGATTCAGTTGCTGTGCATTAAAGTGCACTTGATTAGGCTCTTATATTTTATTTTTTTGATGTGTAAGATCTATGTTTGTCTCTGTTAAAAGTCCTGTTTATGCACTGACTTTTTTGCCCCTCATTTATTCTTTTCATCAAAACAGTGCCTTGCGCATGCTGGAGTGCAGTGGTGCAATCATGACTACAAAGTTTTTGTTTTTTTTTTTTTTTTGATGGCGTATAATGTGACATAATATTTTTGTTATGTTTATTCATTTTTGTACTTGGTTTAAGACCTAGAATATTGGTACTTCAACTCTCTGATTTCTATTTTTTGATTGTCATATGCGTAGCATGTATGTGTGTGAGGAGATTGAGTAGCTGGTATATGAGCGTAATAATTTAGAACATGAATTAGAAAGTATCAAGAGTAGTAGATGAGTTTCTTTTAAAACACGCTGAGATTTTCTGCTGTAAATGTAAACAGTGACATGTGTCACTTTGTTTAAAATTATAAAGCTGAAGTGCAATCAACTGTGCTATATCTTGGCTGGAGAAAGACTGTTGCCAGGGGGAGGTTGTTGGACTTGGACATAAAGGGGAGGCAGAATACAGACCTGTCAGTGTTTACCAGGACTGTCCAAAGAAGAAATAGCAACTGGACCTGATAGTCACGAATTGCAGTCATTAGAGAAACATTTGCTGTGGCTTATTTCTTATTCTAATCCATGAGGTTCCTTTTCCCACTCTGCCATCAAAACAGCTTTCACCAAGGTCATTAATGACCTTGTGTGTGAACTGAGTAGATCTTGTATCCCTCATCTGCGTGACCTCTATGCAGCATCAAACAAGATTGGCATTTTATACCTCCCACTTTCCCTAATGTTTCTCTCTGTTTCCTTCCAGATCTTTTTCTATACATTTGATACAATTTGCAGAATTGGTATTATACCATGTTTATAACTTTACATCGCATTTACCACATTGCATTTTCACATGAACTTCAATGGCCATTATATGAATATAGCATAATCTTTAAAAAAAACATAAAAGACTATAAAAGAATTACTCATTTTGAAAACTTACTGCCATAGAATAGTGTATTTAAATCATATTTTGAAACCATATGTAAGGAAACAGAATAGTAGACAGAAGTTCTATAGTTCTAACAAGCTACTTAAAATTGAAAAATTAAGGCTGAGCAATATTTAATTTCAGTGAAATTGAACAAGGAGAACATGACCTTAGTTAAACCATTGGAACCTGTTCTTCTCTCTTTGTTTTCTTATCTTTAAAATAACAGGATCAAACTGATCTCTAAAATCTCTTTCATTGTAACATTCTGTGACTTGTGAATTAGTACATGCTAGAAGTTTGTATCTCTCTGGTCCATAATAGTTTGTTCTGCGATGGTTGTGATTATTATAGGTTATTGTATGCATACATGTTTAAATTAATTTTTAAAGTACCCTGTTAACTACATTATTGAACTGTTATATGGGATGATTTTCCTTCTAGTAGAACCAAATCTCTGTCCTGTGAATTTATCTAATTTTGTATTGATTTATATAGACTGTAGGGCCTATAATAGCTATAGTAAATGATTTTTATTGACATTTGAAAGTCTGTCACTCATAGTGATTAGTGATTATGAAGCCATATTTTAATATAAGAATACAGAATATAGTGAAAAATTCATAATACTATATTCAGTAAAAACGATCCTTATAATCTGATGTCAAACTGAAATTTTGCATCATTTCTCCTTTGAGTTCAGCAGCTTTTGATTCTAGATTCTTCTGCCTAATGTGAGTTCTGAGTAATTTATTTTAATTAAAGTTGTTTACTATTAAGGATGTTGAAAAATTGTTCCACTGGTGCATTCATGTAGTTAAGAATCAAGTCACACATTTGACTTACTTAAACACATCTGCACTTACTTTACCAGTAACATATTTGGTCTGCGGCCTGTGGATTATACAGATGATGAAGATATGAAGTCACTATTGCTGCTACCAGAGAAGAATGAATCATCCTCAACCAGCCATTGCTCGGTAGTAAGTATGAATTTAGCTTTGGAACATTTATATATTTAATTAAAATTGGTTATGAAAGGAACATAAAAGAAAAATTTCCAGTTGGCAAATTGCTTATATTCACAAACAGTTATTGAGCATTTCCTGAGTATTAGCTACTGTGGATTCAAAGACAGAGTGTGACCGTCTAGAAATACTTATTGAGCCCTCTGTATTTTAGGCAGCAGTCATAAAACAGTGAATATGACTGATAGAACTCTTATTCTCAGGGAAGAGCTTACCATCTCGTGAGAGGTAGGAAAGAGACAAAATGTAAATATGTGGACTAATATAAATAAAATAATTTCAGGAACTTAGATGTGATTGCTTTGAAGATTTGTAGAGTGTCATTGGATGGAGGTTGTGGGCTTCTGCAAGGCCATTGCTTTAGCAAGGATCACGGAGGAGGAGCCTTAAAGCACTGATTTGAATTGAAACCTGAATGTTGAAGTGAGGAGGTTGCCAGGTGACTCTCTGGAGGACACAAATGTATAAGGCCCTGCAGTGAATGAGGCTGGTATGTTAGAAGGTTAGAAAGAAGTTTGTTATTGCTGGAGACTGGTGAGCATCTAAACAGGACTTTCAGATGGATTACATACGAAGTGTGGGAGAAGAGTGGAATTAGTATGACCTTAGCAATGAAGTAGATGGTAATGCCATTTGTTGCCATGGAGGAGGAAATCAATAGTTCTGTGTGCCAATTTGATATCTGTAAAACATCAAATGGAGATGTCGAAGAGATCACTGGATATAAAAGCCTGGAGCTTAGGAGAGAGGTACAAGCTAGAGATAAAGTGGAAAGAATGCCTGTTTCTTAGAAACCCATAGCTTAGCAGGAATTTCAGATGTCAAAACTTTTACTGTACATTGTAAAAAATTTGTAAAATCAGCTATAAAAATATGCAGTAGAATCAGCATAAGTAGAAACTACAGGAGAGGTCTGGAAAATTTTCACAGAAAGGCCAGGTATGGTGGCTCACACCTGTAATCTCAGCTCTTTGGAAGGCTGTTGCAGGCAGATCACTTGAGGTCAGGAGTTCGAGACCTGCCTGGCCAAAATGGTGAAACCCCATCTCTACGAAAAATAAAAAACTTAACCGAGCATGGTGGCATGCGCCTGTAGTCCCAGCTGCTAGGGAGACTGAGGTACGAGAATTGCTTGAACCCAGGAAATGAAGGTTGCCTTGAGCTGAGACCATGCCACTGCACTCCATCCTGGGTGGCAAAGCAAAACTATCTCAAAAAATAAATAAATAAATAAAGACATTTTCATAGAAAAGGTATCTTAAGTCTTTCAGGGTAAACACTTTAGCAAAATGTCTAATAGAATCCTGTTGGCTGCCAATAACAGAAAACCTTTCCTCAAATGCTTGAAGATAATTTATTACCTTATATAGAATAATCCCGATGCAGGATAGCTCTGCATTTGTTTAATTTAGCACTTAGTGGTTGCAGCAAGGAACCAAATTCTTTGTATCTCTTTACTTGCCATCCTCAGTTTGGTGGATTTGTCCTCACTAAGAAACTTTCTTTAGTGGTTATAGGATGATGGTTGCCACAATTCTAGATATGACAGTGGCTGTGAAAAAAAGACACTGAAGTCTTTTGCAGAAGCCTTGCCATGGACTTCCCCTGTGTCTTAGTGGTCAGAGCTGGTCTGAAATTCGTTTTGATGTACCCTGGGGCTGGAGATAGGGTCAGTCTTTGAAAGTGGGGCTACCTGAACAAAACTGGCCTTCTGTTAATGTGGAGGAAGTGAGCAATCGATTTTGAGTGGACAGCCAACATTCCCCACTGCAGTCAGGTGTACAAAGTGAGAATGGCAGCCCAAATTTAAGGAACAGCTGCTCAGAGACAAAGAGGCATAAAGGACCTAAGGAATTTGAGAAACTATAGCGTTTACTGTACAGGAGCATGTAGTGTGTTAAAGAGGGATTCAGGGCTAGGTTGGGACCAGATTGTGAAAGGCCTTAAATTCTCCAATACAAGTTTAGACTTAATAGGGCACCTTCAGTGAGTTTTAGACTGAAATAGGACTGTCTGCAGGATAGCTGGAAGTGAGAAGAAACTGAAGGCTGATTGGATAGGAGGCTCTAGTAGTGGAATCCAGGTTTGAAATGCTGAGGACTGGAATTATAGATGGTAGTTACATGGGGATGGAGAGAAGAAGAGGGATTTTCAAGAGAGTTGTTAGTCTCACCATATCACAGTACTGCTCAGATGGAGGAAAATAACAAAAAGGGATGAGCTGAAGCCAAGAATCATTCCTAAGAGTAGTGGTAGATACCACTGTTTAAGGAGGTAGCCTAAGGTAGCTACAATTTGATACTCTCATAGATGCTTTCATGGGCTAGCTACTTGTGTATCTTGAAAACCTCATGTCTTCTGCTTTAGACTTCAGCCTTGTAAACGTATTCCAAACTATAGTTTTGGTAATGAATTGGAAGAGGAGCTAGAGATCAGCAGTTTAATTTCCTTACTTTACAAATGAGAAAATTTGTAAAAATAAGAGGCTGTGTTTCCCCGGGGTTAACAAACCATTAAAAATAAAAGGTTGTTTTTTTCTTTATTAAAGGACCAGTTAGAACTCACATTTCTTAAGCCTTGGGTCAATATTCAACTCAGTCCCACCAAACTCAGCAACTATAAATTGTTTTCTTCATTCACATTGTGTTGCTTTCCCCTTTTAACTAGAATATAAATGGTGTGAGGACAGGGACTTGCTCTTTTGTTTTCTATAGTAGCCCTAGCATTGAGAACAGTGTTTGGCACATACTGAATGTGCAGTAAGTGTGTGCTGAATACATGTATGAGCATTAGAGTGTTCTTTATGATACAATCTTGCCTCTAAAACAAGCACAAGTGCTTGGTAGCTTAGTCTGGAATCCTTTAAATCAGTGATGTCCAATGAGCTGCTTTAGGGAGCATCATGCAGAAGGGAATGGGTTTGAATTTCTCTACTTCCTCTTTAGAATTTTTGTGTTTCAAGTTAAATGTAGCGGCTATTGGAAAACTGCGTTGGAAAGCAACCTCTAATCTTCTAAAAATTTAAAAAGCTCCTTGTCATTCGTTTGAGACTTCTCTGCTCATGTTTCATTCTGAGCAGCATGTTTATGATTTTAACTTTCTAAATTTTTTAACTCCATTTTTGATGAACTTATTTGTAAAAACTAATGATTTTATCTAAGAAAAAGTATTCTAATCTTTGAATTTATTGAATGGTAATGAACATAGTATCTAATCTCTGTAAAATCAGAGTATTAAACCCTTGGAGTGTGTTTTGCACCTCTTTTGAGCCTTATGGGTGTGAGACCTATGCTTATTCAAGTGAAATCCCCAGCCCCCAATGCCACGCCACCCCAAATCAGACATGTGGCTTTGGCAGCTGTTTGCTTTATGTTTTATTATAGCATTCTTTAACTATGAGAAATTAGTGCCCATTTCTATTTGTATACAAATTTTAAAAAGCATGATAGGAAAATACTTGACACACTTTGGTGCTTTCCTTGGGTTGACAGAGATAGTATTGTATGCTATATTTAGAAATGATATCTTTTTCACTCGTGTTTTGTGCAAAGAACTAATTTAGCTCAAGTGGAGTTATATACATTGAGAAGTAATGTGTTCTATTTAGAGCTATTTTATGGTATTTGTGTAACTTACAAGAATTTCTAAAATATTGTAGTGTTTTTAAATATTAAAGAGTAATTGAACAATCCATAAAATACACTGAACTATTTATTTTCATGTGAGGAGTGTTTATAGCATTTAGGTTAGATGTGGTTACATCATCTTACAATTTAGTGACTAGGAAAGATTAGCTGAACTTTTAAGTGCTGAATTCTGTCATTTACAAACACTTTTATGGAAATATATATATATATATATATATTCATACATATACACACATACGAAAACACACACCCATTGTTTCCTTGAGTCTTGAACTACTAAGCTTTAATGCTATCCACTGTTAGCTTCTCCTTATTTTTGTCTTTTTTGTCGTCTATGAATTGTAAGCCTAGATTTTAAAGTGAAACTATTAGTCTTTGTTAGAGTACTTCTTAGTCATGAACTGCATGGACTTCTTACTGTTTATGGGTCTGATCTCCTAAGTTTTGAATTAACTTGTCTGTTTTTATCTTTTCCTGGTTTTGAGGGTGTTACTATTTTGATGATGAAAATTTGTTTTCTGTCTTTGGGGTCAGCACTGTTCTAGAAGCTTTGGTATTCTTTGGTTTTTCAGATAATCTCAGTTTAAACTAAACAGACCTTTTGAGTTTAACTCTATTGGGACAAGTTAGTGGAGGTGGAATAGGGAATTGCTCATTTTAAGTGAATATTTTGAGTTACTTGGGGAAAGAAAAAGACTTAGTGGTGACAGAATGAAGTAAAACCCTAGAGAGACACAATTTAAAATTGAAGAAACAAGATGCCCTGGGGATAGAAAGCTATCTCGATTGACATTTGCTTGAGGGAAAAATAAAGAGACAATTATTTAAAAGGTTCTGGGTGTAGATTCAATGGAAATCATTGAGAATTATTAGTAGAGTAAACAAAGTAATGAAATTCAAGCTTATATCAAGTAAAGGTCTGTTTAATGTCTTTGTCTAGTCTTCTAATGTTTTTAACACTTGGCATCTCCTTTTGTATTAACAGATGAAGACTGGGCAGCGTAAGGATGGACCTCTTGTACTTATAGGCAGTGGGCTTTCTTCAGAACAACAGAAAATGCTCAGTGAGCTTGCAGCAATTCTTAAGGCTAAAAAATGTACTGAGTTTGAGAGTACAGGTGAGGATTTTGAATTTTGGGGGGGTAGAAAAAAATGTTAAATAGATGATCCCTTTGGAGAAGTACCTTTGATAATTTACATATGTTTTAACCCTTGGGAGATGGCTGTGTACTTTGCATCTTGTAATAAATCTAAAATAATTTTTTCACTAATAAACTACTTATAGACTTAATGTAGTTAGGAAATGTAAAGTTTAAAGTCTGCATATATTTTAGGACAAGACAGTATTTGAGAAGAGCAAATTTATGACTTTGCTAATGACAGATAAATTGTAGTGCAATGTAATGTCATAATCACTTAGCTATAATTTGAAAATTAAATAAAAACTTGTGTTTGCTAATATGGCTTTAAGATACATGGTTTATGATCTGATTTTTCATATTGATGGCCAGGTTGTAGAACTAGGTACCAAATAAAAGAAGTCTTACACTTGAGTGTAAAAATTCTTGCCTTTGAAGAAAATTCAGATATAAGTTTACAAAATCTAGATTAGTTATAAAAAGCAGGCCAAAGAAGTATTTTGGCTTATATCTTTGTTTCTCTTACTGCTTTTTTTGTATTTTAGTAACTCATGTTGTTGTTCCTGGTGATGAAGTTCAAAGTACCTTGAAGTGTATGCTTGGGATTCTCAATGGATGCTGGATTCTAAAATTCGAATGTAAGTGTTGGATTTGAGAGAATTACAAAATGAATTAGACTAGTTTTATTTTTCATGGTTATTGATGCCCATGATTAAGGAACTTGATGTTAGTTTCCTTACCTCTGGTTAGTCACTGCATTTTGAAAAAGCTTCTCATATTTATGGTGTCATTTAGATGTCCTTAGTAAATGTATACACATATGTTCTGGTTTTAAAGTCTTTTTTCCTATAATACCAACTATTTCAATGCATGGTACAATTTTAAGCCTAAGCAATCCATGTTACTGTTAAATGATATATTGAATTTAATAATACATGTTTTAAATATACTGTGTGACAGGTCTGTGAGATGAAGGCAATTAATTGCTTTTTCTTTATGATTACCTACATAACACCATTTTGGTCTTGGTTAATTTAATCCAGTATTTTTAGGAATCTGTTGGGAAATTGACTGCCTTGTACTGCTTGAGTTGGAGTGACTACGCCAGCTATCTCGACCTCCACTGAAAATGTTTTCCTGTTCCCTTCTTGCTGATAGTCAATCCACTGACACCTTCCGAGCTGCCTGTCACCTTGCCTCCTGTCACTTGTTTAGTTTTCTTAACCTCAGATTCATTTGGGACTTAAAACAAAATGAAAAGAAAGCTAATACACCATTATTTTCTACTCCTTAATCTTTAATGTATCTACTTTTGACACTATGGCTAACGTAGAACTGTGGATTGACCTTTTTTGTTTATTAATTGTTTACAAAAGATTAGTAGTTACAAAAGATTAGTGGTTACAAAGGAGTAACATGGGGAGCAATACAATTGAATATCTTGATGTTAGTGATGGTCATGTAACACGACTACCTGAAATAAAATTACACAAATAAGTGCATTTATAACTAGTGAAATCAGGCTGGGCGCTGTGGCTCATACATGTAATCCTATCACTTTGAGAGGCTGAGCAGGCAGATCACCTGAGGTCAGGAGTTAAAGACCAGCCAGACCAACATGGTGAAACCCCTAGTGGCACATGCCTGTAATCCCAGCTACTTGGGAGGCTAAGTCAGGAGAATTGCTTGAACCAGGGAGGTGCAGGTTGCAGTGAGCCAAGATAGTGCTATTGCACTCCAGCCTGGGCAACAGAGCGAAACTCCATCTCAAAAATAAATCATTCGATCAATTGATTGATCGTTAGACAGACAGACAGACAGTGAGATCTGAATAAGCTCTATGACGTATTGAAGTCAATTTGTTGATACAATCGTGGTGTGAGATGTTAACATTGGACACTGGAAGAAAGGTACATAGGATGTCTCTGTTCATGCCTTTGAAACTTTCCGTGACTAATTATTTTTAAATAAGATGTTAAGAAAGAACAGTGGGTATATTTAATGAAACTTTTTTATGAAGCAACTGATGGATTAAAATTAGTTTATAAAAATGGTTTTATGGCTTTGTGCTTTGAAGGTTTTATGGTAGAATGCTTGATTTATCAAGATCTTATATTATTAATTTAATCTGTAGTTTGAAGTTGATTTGGTTTGTAAAACAGTTTCCTTTCATCAATTGGTATTCATGTCATTTTTAAATACAGCTTCTACTTCTTTTCTTGCAATGCTAGTCTCAACCGATGCAGTCTCTTCCAGCTAAGAGGCTGTGACTAGCAATGCCACTCCATCTGTTCTCACCAGTCTCTATTAATTAGTCTCTCCTAGTTAGGACGAGTTTGAGATGTATAAGTAATTGGACTAATTTGTCTCACTTAGTTTTGAATTTTCTTTTTCCCTTTAAATCTATCAAAGTCTTATTGAGCCTCAGTGTCTAAAAAATTCATTTAAAATGGTTTCCTGATTAGGGATTCTTTTGTATCAAACCTGTACCAGAAACCTTTCCAGTGGTTATAGGAAGAAATAGAGTTTCTTCATATTAAGGTCGCAGTAATAAAGAAGCCATATGAAATTTTGAATGTTAAGACATTTACCACTTAACTTTTGAGTCTAGTTCTTATGAATATACTGAACTGGCATTTGGTTACGTATACAGGCTACATGATTCATTTCCATAAAATCTACCTTCTTTGGGAAATGTAAGTTTTGTCACTTTAATATCTTGGCTTTGTCATTTTTATAGAACCACTGATGGACTCAGACTAACTTAATAGTGTGCTAGTTAGTGATTCTCACAGTAGTGAATAACATCCTCCAATAACGATGGTTCCTTTAGGAGAAAGGATGGATGGAATCCCTTATTGAAGTTCGTATCCTCACATTTTTTAATATAGAGTCCAAAGAGAAATAGGTTCAAAGTTTGAGACAATTCCTTTAAATAGTCACTCGATTTACAAAAAGGAAGCAAGAACCTTCAAATACGTCTTTCCTATTATATATTTCTCATAGTTTCTATACTGACTGTTCTCAGTGTCAAGCATCTCAGCTTTACTCGTTTGTTTTTTAAGGGACGAGGTCTCTCTCAAGCAATCCTCCAGCTTCAGCCTTCTGAGTAGCTGATACTACAGGTGCATATCACTGCACCTGGCTCACTTTGATATTTAAAAATGTTTCAGAGCTATTCAAAACTATCTGAAAACCATTCATATTAAAAGATGATAGGTGGACCAAAGCTTTCAAAATTAATTGTAAAGATGTATGACTTTTTAAAACCAGGTCTAGTGTTTGAGTCTGTCCATTAACTTGTTGGTTAATCCAGTAAAACACACAACTTTTACTGGATTAACTTTCCAGAAACTTTCGTATTAACCTTTCATGGGATTTTTCATAAACCAAATAGATTCAAGAGGAATTTTATTCATAATTTTCTCTGTAGATGATAAACTCATTTTACAAACTAAACAGTTTAACAAAAAGAATTATACAAAAGCTTGGGATTCACTGGGTCCAAGTTTACGAGAAGTTTTCTGTTGAAGTGTCTGTCTTAATTGGTTAATATCTCTTATTTTCTTACATTATATATGCATAGTATCTTACAGTGCCACAATTAATGGACTTAGCATGAAGATTCTGAGACTAAGCCATAATTTTACAGACCATCCAGTCTGTCTTAAATTGCTTTTACAGATATTTTACAGAATGATAGTTTTCATATTTTACAGAAATAGGAGCTAGGGCTAAGAAAAGTCCCTTTTTCAACATCAAATTTGTGGGGGAGACTCTACTTTAGTCCTAGTGTGGGTACTAATTTCTCACAAGCCATTAGTAACTATCCTCATACAAGGGTGATTTTGGTATTAAAGAGGTGATAAGAATGAAAGAATAGAAGGTATATAAATAAGTCATTTTATTAATCTCGTAGAGTATGAGTAAGATGAAACTGTATCCTAAAGATGTAAACTAGGCCAAGATAAAATGTTTTCCATTGATTTGTTCTTTGAGTACACTGCTTTCAAAATATTTTTTTATCCTGGCCTTTTTTCTAAAAGAAATCTAACTCTGTATCCTCTCTTTTTACCTTATTATAAAGAAGAACACAGATGGCTGTCATCTTTTCTTTAATAATCTTTCCCTCTTCCCCACTCTCATCTAAGTTTAAATAAAATTGCAGCTGTAGAAGTTGTAAAATTCTCCAGCACCTAAGGGAATCACTGAAGGAATGTGCCAGACATTTTACACTAGATTTATGTCAGTGAGATGGGGGAAAAGCTAAATTGAGTGTTTTTTCATTTTGCTTTAGCTGAGAAGAGATGGACCCTAGAAGGCAATCATTACATCATCATTTAATAAATAACCTCATAATCAGGCTAACAGATTATTGTTTTCAAACAAATTCTAACAGTTTGCTTCTTTAATTGGATACTGAGAATACTATGGAATTTTAAAGTTAAATACAACTTTATTCTATATAAACTTTGCTAATTATCAAAAAACAAAAAAAATACCAAAGCACCCCTATGAAGATTGATTAGGCAATTTATGCTGACAGAAGGCCTTCGCCAAAGATTGTCTAAGAATAAAAAAAATTAACATCCTTTGATCTGATAGTCCCAGTTCTGAGAATTCACCCTAAGCAAAAAATACAGATGAAAGAGAAAGGATTTGCAGTGTTACTTCTAATAGCAAGAAGTAGGGAATATAACCTAAATATGAAAGATAAAGAAAATTCTGAAATGCTTAAAGATTTCTCTGGAAAAAAATTCATATTTTTATATGATAAATGTTAAGACTAAAAGATTACGAAAAATAAAATTGTTTAAATTTTAAACATATTAAACAATTATATCTTCACATTCAAATGTATGTAAATGTGTGCATGCATGTGAGTAAAAAAATAATCAAAGAGAAACAGCAGTAAATTGTTGGGTTACTAAAGATTAGGCTATCTGTTTATAGCAGTTTTAAAAATAATGTGTGCCTGTTAGATCAAATTTAAATTCTTTAGGAATAAATTAATACATTCAAATTTTCAAGTTGTAATAATAATTGGAAGTATTTTCACTTTTCTTTTCAAGATTAATTGGATAGGTTAGGGCTTTGGTCTTCATTAGGGAAATTAGAACCTGCATGTGTTTATTCTTCCCATCTGATATACCAGGTCTTTTATACCTGTTATGCATACCCAACAAATACATTTGATTATGGTGATTGTCCTAGTCAGAACAGAAATTTTTACAGGAAAATTTGATCTTCTAGTATATGAGAAAAAAGAACACTGAGCATGAGTTTCTAATAATTACGAGAATTTTTGGACATTAGACTGTGTTTGGTTTTTAACCATACCTTTATAGAGACAGATAATTTTGATATTATTGTTAATAATACAAGAGACAGACTATTTTGATATTATTATTCATAAGACAGCATCTTAGAATTGATACCCAAGTTTTGCCTAAGAAAAATTTATGATATCATAATATATTTTTGCAATAGTTTGACCTGATTCTCAATGCATTAAGTAAAATAGTAAATTACACGTATTGTCATGTGAAGAAATACGTTTTTTACACGTAAATATGCTGATAGTTAGAATTTGAACTAAAACATAGTCAAAAATAAAATATTGCTACGTGATATTTAT